TTCTTGAATAAATTATATTTGAGTGACTGAAATATTTGCTGTTTTATAAAAATATTCATCAGCTACGTATATACTATTCAAAATAGTATCATTTTTTCCTTTAGAATACATACCTTCACTTCCTTACTAAAGCAATAAAACAACTATTGTTCTATTTTATTAACATTATAATTAGCATATCAAATGAATCTTCATGCTCAACGAATATTTGATATTCTAAAAGAGCTTGAGGTAGTTTTTAATTCTTTTGATCTTGAAAAGACTTTGATGTACACTGAAGTTTACCTTCAACCTAATCCTATCGTTCCTCCAGAATTTATGAAAGAAAGTTATTTTAACAAGAAAAGTACATGTAATTATAAATCCTGTTTGAGTCTTACACAGAATAGCCATAGAGAGATAAAGATGGACAATTTTGCATATGTGCCACTCCAGTCGTCATGTATATTTCTCAAATCTTCACTTCGATTTCGTCTTTATTTTCCATATTCCAATCCAACTATTATGAACCTTCTTTTAGCCTACACCCACATTCACACCCACACCCACACCCTCACATTTTAATGCTTGGCTATTTTTTTTACAATGGGACTTTATTTTCTCATCACTGGACGTATCTTATCCGTTTTTATCTTTTGTGCACTACACTGCGGATGCCGAAGAAGAAGAAGAAGGATAGCAAGGCTCATATTTAAACGGTGCGTTACATTGTGCACGTCTATGATCAATTCGAGCTATGGTAGATGAGCTTTATGTTTGTGCCGATGAATAAGGTACACTTTGAGGCCTCATCGTGTTATCGCTGTTAGCTTGTATCTTGTTAATGATATAATAGTCATATTCCTTTTGTTCATGATCTGTGTAACCTTTTTTCAATGGTTCTTATTCTTTCTCTCATCATCTTATCTTTTCATTCTCTTTTTTTTGTAACCGATATTCTTATTCTTCTATACAAGGCTGTGTTCTATGTGATATGCACAGAACTGGAGTGATGTGATAGCGTATAGTGAACATTTATACCGTGACTGGTGGTAACGCTACTTCTCTAGTTTCTCATCTAATAATGAATAAAATAGATGCAGCCATAATAAAAAGAATGAAGCCACTCTGCATATTTCTCGTTACAATGTTCACTTCAAATTATCTGATTGGTCAGTGCAAATGATTCTTGGTCTTATGCTGGAGCCCTATCCTGATTCTTATCTGGCCAAACTTGTCTTCAATCACTCCTTCAAATTGATCAAAGAGGGTATGAGTGATTGTGCGTGTGAGTGTAGGTTTTCATCTTCTCCTATCCACACTCTCAATAAACAACATAGATCTGAAAAAGATCAACCATCATAATGATCTTCTATTCTTTCTTTCGCTTCCTTCATTGAAAGACATTTTCTAATGTATAGATGGCTTTACCATGTGTCGTAATGTGCACTTAATAAAATAATATTCAGATAGAAACATTTAACGTGAGAAACTTTAGAAATGAAACTTAAAGGTGCGTTATCTTGGTCATATACGCAATATATCACCCAAAGATAAGAGCATAAGAATGCTTTTTTGTGTTCGAGGCAAAATTATGGCAATGAAAAAGAAGGAGTGTAGCTCTATGACCAGCCTCAGTATTGATGTTTCTTGAGCTACTTCACATCAATCACTATGACAAGTGGAAAGACATACGAGTCTGGGCCGTATGACACGATGTTTATTCGACTTTTATCTCTTTCCAAGTGTATATCTCTCCAAATGCGTCTATCTGGCATACAACATGAGTCTATCTACGAGAGAGATGAATACGAAGAGATAAATTACGGCAGGAAAATTAAAATAGAAAGAGGCGCAATCATGCGTAAAGAGTAACGAATGAGCCGGTTATGCAAGTTAAGAACGAGTGTATCACAAGCCACAATGAAAGAAAAGATATCATGTGCGAGTGATGTGCCTATAGCCACAGTTACCTGCATTTTTTTATTTTTCCGATAGTACAAGACAAATATAAAGTGGTTTCAAGCGATCATTTGTTTTCTTCTTTTTAGCTAAGACTTCTTGAGGTACATCAGATGCATAACAACCCAATATACAACGAAAATGATACTGGAAATAATGAGCGATATAAATGTCTGAACCGTCGGCGAACTAAAATTATTGGCACTTCATTTATCGTTTTCACAATTTTTGTAGTTACTCTTTCTCTGCTGTTAAAATTCGTCATTCTTGCCCCACAAAAGTCAGAAACCATTGTCATTACAACAATAGCACCAATAACATTATCGACCACAACAGCAACAACAACATCGTCAATCAAAATAACGACCACTAGTCAGCAGTCACGTAAGCTTTACAGTAAACTTTCTTCATCGGACTAAATACTACTTTTAAAGTACGTACTTGTAATGGATGCCGTAGAATCAATGATGATCTGATAAGAAAGTCGTTAAAAGTAATAAATAGCGTTTGAAGTGAGACTTACTAAATTTGGCAAGACTCCTCGAAACTAGACACAGTCTAGAATGAACCGTTTCATGTAGCCTTCTCTCTAGAATTATATCCAATTTCCTAAACTTTTCGTCTGTATCAGGATGTTTCAAAAACAATCGAATGTCGGAGTTTCGATCGAAAATCTTGCCAACAAAGAAGTGTCAGTATTACTATGATGTGCTGAAGTCTTACCCAATACCGCTGTTACCATTTCGCAATACAATATCTTGAACAAATCACATTTCTTCGCAAAGAGCTCAGAAACTCTTGCTGTTTGGAAAATCTTGTATGGCGATATGGAAAGATCCATTTTGACTGAGACTTTCCGCACATTTTAGTAATATTGAAACCTTTTCATGATTAAATTACAGATCAAAATGGCAACATTCGATTTTTTATGATATGCCTGAATAAAGGCGAAAAATACGTATAGCCATAATCATCATCATAAGATGTGCAGAACAAAAAAGCCACAGAGGAATCGTGAGACAGATATCAAGTATCACTGTTAAGTCATATCTAAACTCAGACTGCAAAGAAAACAGGTCTATTTATTGATAAATATTGAATCGAGAAAATCTATCGGTTTTCGAAACTGTTTCTGAAGTTGTAGGCGACGTAAAAGTTAATCATGATCTTGACGAATTTGAAACGATCATAATGTTTCATTTTTCTTTTTCGAACTCGTTTGAAATAATGAAATTGACAAAGCTTAGGAATGATACTAAATAATCGCGGTCATCATTTTTGTGATAGTTTTGAATAAATATCTTCGACTGATCGTTTGTCCATGAATCGTATCGTTCTCTATCCAAAAATTAAAAAATCTAATCTATTAAACTACAAGATACTTTATTAACGCTCTTCCATTGATCAGCTTTATTTAGCACTAGGTGATATTGAAGTGGCAGCATATTATGCGCTTGTTTTCTGTCGAATAAATGGTTTTTCACAAAACCTGCAAAAACTCTGATGGATTCAAAATTAGCGTTGTTAGTCCTACGAATAGCAAATATCGGCTAATTCGTCGACTTGTGTGTGTGAAGAGATTCTTTCAGATGTTTACTGTTGCCTCATGCGGTTTTCCATCTGATGAAGCGTCTTCGCGCACAAACCCTGTAGTTATTTATAAAAGAAGATAAAAAATCCTAAACAAACCCGTTGTCACCTGCTTTTATAAGTTCAAATTAATACTCATACCTTGCTTTACCCTAAATTTTCTGTAGGTAAAACCGAATGATCCATTATTCTGTATTTGACTATAGTTGGACTAGACCTTTATTTTGAGATAACCAACCCTTTTTCTGCACCAAATAGAAAGTCCAGTCTCAGGGTTGTAATTTTTCGACGCAATAGAAGCCCACTATATTCAACCTGAGCAAAACAGAAATAACATAACAAATTCGATAGATTATTTCATTGATTCTCTCTGTTGAATTATAGGTTGGTTTATTTGTTTAATTTCGTTTGTGCTATATATGTTTTCTTTCTATTAGCGGGCACCTGAATTTCTTTCGTGAGCTGAAAAATACCTATACAGAGATACTACCTAAAGATAGCTGCCCAAGAACTGCGAAATTGAAAACACACATCCAGTAATATTATTCTATTGGATTTCTTCGTATCATGAGATAATACGCAGTTCAGAAAAGGAACGACGTTAATTTTATTAATTTAATAGAAATATGAGCAGGTCCTTGGCTGAAAACCCTGACATCTCACAAAGGTGAAAGATGGCTGATTCAAACTACGTGTATGCGTTTTTCCGATTTAAAACTAAAATTGATGTGAGATAGGACAATATCGATCATTATAACATTCATAAAGTTTGAACTATTCATTTCATAGAGATAGGAGATTCTTATTTTTGAATCAGAAATTTACTTTATATTTTTATCAAAATAATTAAAATATATCTCATTTCGTTTCTGAACTGTAGAAGCTTTTATGATGAAATCATTCCGCAGAATCATGTTGGTACATGTCTAATAGAAGTTCCTTCTTAGTTTCTCCAGAACTCAACAATTTCCTAAATGAAATCTTGTATATCTGGAGTACTTTGTATTCAAATCAAGATCCGCCAAGTATTGCGGACGGATGAACGTGTAGATGTGAAAGTATTGTAAACACACTCATTACTGTGTCGGTTTGACGGTCTGGACTTGGAAAAGAACTGGCAGTCAATCTTTGATTCTTCGAGAACTATTATAGCTATTATATTCTATTCTGAAACATGTTACACGATTTGAAAATCAAGTCCATCAATTCTTGAACACTTCTGTGCTTCTAAATTGATGAAATTCTAGTTACAACACAAAAGAGTTGATCGTGATATAAGTGCATATCCAAACTTTTGATTTTTAAAACAAATCAGAAGGCCACGAGACTTCTATTCTGTGGGGAGCGAGAGCATCTAAGTAAAAAAATTAATATATTTATGGCATACTCTCCTTAATGACTCAGTGATACGCTATGTCTAGATTTTATATTTTCAAAAGCTTTTTCTAGAATGGTCTATTACTGGTAGCATGAATAATGAACGAACTATACATACCGCATCAGTGTTAGCAAGTGGAAAAGTATTAGTTACAGGTGGATATGATGCTAGTAGTGCTTATTTGAAAAGTGCGGAGTTGTATGATCCATCAACAGGAACTTGGACATCTACTGGTAGCATGAATCATGTACGAGAGTGGCAAACGGCATCAGTATTAACAAATGGGAAAGTCTTAGTTGCTGGTGGATCTAGTGGTAGTAGTGATTATTTGAATGGTGCGGAATTGTATGATCCGTCAACAGAAACTTGGTCAATCACTGGTAGCATGAGTGATGGTCGAAGTGAACACACAGCAACCATTTTAACAAATGGAAAAGTTTTAGTAACAGGGGGATTTGGTGGTATTGCTGGTTATTATAGTAGTGCTGAGCTGTATGATCCATCCACAGAAACTTGGACAACTACCGGTAGCATGAATTTTGTAAGAATGGACATACTGCATCGATATTAACAAATGGGAAAGTATTAGTTACCGGTGGACATACTGGTGGTGATTTTGTGAATAGTGATGAGTTATATGACCCATCAACAGGAATTTGGACAACTACTAGTAGCATGAATGATGTACGATTTCTGCACACCGCATCCATATTAACAGATGGGAAAATATTAGTTACTGGTGGATCTAATGGTATGAATAATTATTTGAATACTACTGAATTGTACGATCCATTAACAGAAACTTGGTCAATTACTGGTAGTATGAATAATGCACGGAAAGAGCATACAGCATCTATATTAACAAATGGGAAAGTATTAGTTACTGGTGGAGATGGTGGTAATGGTTATCTGAATAGTGCTGAATTGTACGATCCATCAACAGAAACTTGGGAAACTATTAGTAGCATGAATTATGCACGATTAGCGCACACCGCATCCATATTAGTAAATGGGAAAATCGTAGTTACTGGTGGATATAGTGATACCGATGTTCTGAATAGTACTGAATTGTATAATACATTATCAACAGAGTAATGATAAACATTCTGTTTCTTCTTGATATATTGTATCTATTCTTCAAAGAGTGTTTTCATAACTGATCTTTTTATTGTAATAGCGATAAACTGTCTTTCGAAGTTTCTGTTAAAGTGTCATCTCTGAGAAGAATTTACTTTTTAATAGCAAAGTATTTTGGTTAGCATGCACTCAAGATTGGTTGATGATGGTGCAAAGGTCATAGTTATCACAACGATTCTTGCTTTCTTGAGGAATCTGATCAGACTTTTGATTTAAGTTCTTGGAAAAAAGGTGTGGGTGGGTGTGAGTATGTGAATGAAGAAAATTCTTCATTATTCACATCCACCTACATCCATACCCTCGCTACCAATTTGAAAAATTGACATGAAGTCTCGAAAAATCAACAAATGTTTCTACAAGAATTTTATTAAAAAATCGTCTTTATAGATATATGCAAGTATGAAATATTGAAAAATCCTCGTAATTTTCGTAGAGAAGAGCGGTTCATTGATGTTTGTGTTAAACAAAACTGGCTTGATTTCAGGCAAAGTAGTTTGGAATGCGAGAAAGAAAGCTTGCTTTTTCATAACTTCCAACGTTTTGCCGTGTTTCTCTAACAGAAAAGTTCTTAAATCTTCTTGTTTTTATTTCGATTGTTCATGAACAAGCTTGATCAAAAGACACAATGAATAGCAAAATAAAATCAACTTTGATACAATTTGTTCGTAATGCGAACTTGAGTTTGTTCTACTGCTTCTGCTACTCACTATCATTCAGAAAGGCAAATTGAATACTATTGTAAATCAGCTCTTTCAATTCCACATAGCTTGGCTTGTAACGATCGCTAACAGACATACATGTTTCTTTTTTTATAAGAACTTTTTTGTAAAATCTGCCTCAAATCAACATCGCTATGTTTTTCAAAACAAAAAAAAAGAAGGCACTCCAAGTAGTGTCCAATATCAGTAAAATAGGTGTCAGCTCGATTGAATTACTATAGTATTGAAATAGGAGCAATTTTACACATTTTTTGTGTAAAAATTGATTTCGAAAAAAAATGAAAAACTAAATTTTTCATCGCCAAGTAAAGTCATCGAAAGTTAGACATGTTTGAGGTCTATGATTCATGCTCACAACACTTGTAAAATGAAAAACAATCACTATCGTTAAGAGAAATTTGTATACAAAGAATAATCTTGAGGGAAGCTCTCTGCTACGGATTATGAGAGTTTTTATTTATTTTAATATTATTGTGAAAAACAACCAATGCAAACTTCTTTCATTATTAAGCGCTACAGTCTATTTTCTATTCTTTATTATATAATTAATTTTATTCATATCCTTCGATATTTTACTTTTTCTTTATTAATTAACAAAGAAATTTCTTTTTCACATTTATTATTCTTAATTGATTTGAGTGTTTCTCTGTACACTATGGTTGTCATGGATATTATAATCAAAAATGGTTTCTCTTATTCATATACATATACAAAAGAATGGATGAATTTACATTTGTTGATTTTCAATAGAGTGTTAAGTATCCTGTCAACAAATAAAACAATAGTTACTCTATCTTCTGTTCAAAAAAGAATTTTTTCTAGACAATGTCTCAAGCCGGTCTTTTATCTATCAAACAAGTTATTGGTGTTCGAAGTTCTGTTACTAATGGTTTAGCATTTCAAGATGAACAAACTGTTGTTTATATTGCTGGTGGTAATATTGTCTTATATGGAATTGATCAAAAAGCTCAACGAGTTATTCCATGTTCAATGAATACTCAAGGTAAATTCAAATCATTTATTTAGGAGTTTTTTTTTTTTAATTTTATTGTTGTTTTTTTTTTTGTTTTAAGCATTAACAACAATGACTGTTAGTCCTAATCGACGTGTAATAGCTATTGCTGAACGTATAAATGATCGTCCACATGTAACAATATATGATCTTCAATCGGGTAAACGACGAAAAACTTTACAATCAGAATTAATTAAATCTAATGAAATTGTATCATTATTATTTTCATCGGATTCAAAATATTTATTAACTCAAGGTGGTGCACCAGATTATACACTTATTTATTGGTCATGGGAAAAAGGTAAAGTAATGGCACATATTGATGTTAAACCATCAACAGGTCCACAAGCAAATGCAACAGTTAATCAGGTTATTTTCTATTTGTTCTTTTATTTTCTTAATTATTTATTATTCGTTTTTCAAAGGTATCATTTAATCCACAAGATAATACACAAATATGTACAATTGGTCATGGTTTATTTAAAATGTTTCGTTATGCTGAATCAACATTAAAACCATCTCAAAATCTTAAACAAGAACATTTTAATTTTACATGTCATTGTTGGATATCAGATGATCGATTATTAGCTGGTACAGATCAAGGAAAATTATTTGTTATACAAAATGGAGAAATTTTACATGAAATTAAAATTGATTCAAAATCTGAACCAAGGTTTTTATTTCTTTTTTTGACTTTAAAACAAACTCTATATTTTATTTTAGATCAGTAACAAGTCATCATACATCAGATGAACGTTTAGGTTTAGTTGAAAGTAGTATGGATATAAATACAAGTGGTGATCATTTAGGAAAATCCGAAATAAAATGTATTATACCATTTTCACGTGGTGTTCTTGTTGCTGCTGGGTATAATAAAGTTTATATGTATGATCGACTTGATGATAATCGTGAATATTTTCGACGTAATCGAGAAATTTTATTACCTATTGATTCAACTGATAAATCAAATAATGAACGTGTTGTTTCTATGTGTTTAAGTCCATCAGAAGAAACACTTGTTGCATTAACAGATCATCAACAAATTTATCAATTATCTTTTTCAGGAATTGATATAACAAAAGTTAGAATAATTATTTTAGCAAAGAAAAAAAAAACAGAAAGTCATGTCGATTATAATGAAATTTTTCTTTTATAGGATATAGCAACATTTTCATATTTAACAGAAGGTTATCATCATGCACAAGTCACTGGACTTGATACATGTGTTCGAAAGCAACTTATTGCTACTTGTGGTGTTGATAGATCAGTTCGTCTTTGGAATTATGAAACAGGGTAAATCTAATTACTAACATATTAGAGACTTTATTTTCGATTCAATCGATAGTAGTAAAATAAAGACGTCTTTTGTTTTTTCCTTGGATTTATATTTAGTACACTTGAAGTATGTAAAGAATTTCAAGAAGAAGCATATACTGTTTCAATTCATCCATCGGGTCTATTTATACTTGTTGGATTTTCTGATAAATTAAAATTATTTACAATATTAATTGATGATTTACGTCCATTTAAAGAATTTTCTATACGTGGTTGTCGTGAAGCATTATTTAGTAATGGTGGACATTTATTTGCTGCTGTACATGGAAATGTTATTCAAATTTATTCAACAGTTACTTTTGAAAATATAACTAATTTAAAAGGACATAATGGAAAAGTTTGTTTATAATCATTTAAAAAAGAAATAATATAATTGATAAAATTTTTTTTTTGTTTTTTTATTTTTAGGTTCGTCAATTAATATGGTCACCAGATGATACACGATTATTTTCATGTGGTATGGATGGTGCAGTTTATGAATGGGAAGTTGCAACATCAAAACGATTACATGAAGCTGTACTTAAAGCATGTGGTTATACAGGTCTTGGATTAAGTGCTGATTCAAAAACAGTATTTGCTGTTGGTACTGATAGAAAAATAAAAGAAATTGTCGATGCTCAAGTTAGTTTTTTGTTTGTTTTACAACTATTGACATGTATATATATATATGATTAATTGATACTTTTAGCAAATTCTTCGAGAAATTCCGGTCATACCGGATGATGTACAACCAACAACAATTGCACTTAGTCATACGGGTAAATCATTATTAGTTGGTACATCTAAAGGAACTGTTCGATCATACAAATTTCCATTAACAAAATCAGATGAATATACAGAATATATTGGTCATGTTGGAATGATTAATCGAGTAAATAAAAATATTTTAATTTTAAGTAAATTTAATTTCTTTTTTTGTGACATGCATAAAGGCAAATAACTATTCTGTTTGAAAATTTGAATATCTTGACAAAGAAATATTCTAAAAGTTCTCAATATGTTTAAAGTTTCAAATCGAAATTTAAAGATTTATCGAAACGAACTCTTTTAAACTTTTCTTTAATCAGAAAAAATTTGATATAAATTTCAATTTAAATATTTTCATTTAGTTACGTGTTACATTTCAAGATGAATATGCTGTATCAGTAGGTGATGATGGTTTAGTAATCTTATGGAAATTACAAGAAGTTGGTGTTTCAAAAAAAGAAAAAGAAACAACTTATGCTGAAGAAATTCTTATTACTAAAAGTGATCTTGAAGAAAAAGTAAATCAATTTTTGTTTGTTTGTTTGTTTTGTGTTTAAATATTATATCTAAATATATTAGAATTCTTCAATACGTGAATTAAAACAACGTGTTGCAGAATTACGTGAAGAAAATGATTATCAACTTAAATTAAAAGAAATGAATTATGCTGAAAGAATACGTGATTTAACAGATAAATTTATGCAAGAAATGGAAAATTTAAAAACAAAAAATACAGTTATTACAGGTGAAAAAGAAAAAGAAGCTAGTAAACATGCTGAACAAGTTCATGATCTTATTGAAAAACAAAATAAAGAATTACAAGATTTAGGTAAATTATATATATATATATATATTTATATTATAGAAAAACAAAAATGATTGAAATAAAATTTAATTTAGTTGAAAAGAAATAAGAATTATTTTTGTAAGTTTTTTGTATCTCTTTTTAGCTGCAATTTTGCATTTAATTTGTATATATGTATTCAATTGAAATGTATGATCGTGCTTTTTTTTTGTTATAGAGGGTTCCAATAATCAAAAATTAATGCTTGAATATGAAAAATATCAAGATCTTCAAGCTAAAACTCAAAAAACACAAGAAGAATATGAAAGACAAATAACTGAATTAGAAAATCGTAAAGAAG